AGTATTTGGGCTTCAAATACTGCTGTCAACTTCTCCCTTCAAAAGCAGCAAATTGAAAAGAAATTGAGCTGTGATGAAAAAATAATGAGGTTTCTGAATTGAAATCCTTTTAACCTTTCCAGATTATTTTTTATATGACAGTCACAGGAGTGTTCTTACACAGACTGCCCATTGTGTCTGGTTAAGCCATGTTAATTAGAAACATGACTGCAGATTGATTGTGATATTATATTCTTCTTTATAGGTAGTCTGATTGATACGTGATGGTTCTTTTGAGTTAATGAATAACATGAGATGCGAACATACATTCTTTTTTGTTCAAGCAGAGTTTAAAAAAAATTTTGCTGCATGTCCTGTTCAAAGTGCTCAGGAAAGAACTGTGTTCACAGGCTTCCTATAGTGAGAATGTTGTCATGAACAGATGACTGGGCTGAATCTTTTATATGTGATCTTTTCCTCGCAAACCCAAAAAAAACTTTCCCATCCAATGCATGTATCATAATGGCAGCTGGTAAAAAATATCTGTGATTTATTTATCTGTGGCTTATCAAGCTTACAGACTAGCATAGAGTGAGAATGATTATAATACATTCATAATGTCTTTTCTTGAAGGTCTGAAATTAGGGAAAAAATTAAAAGAAAGAACAGCAATATCTGTCACATCTGTTCAAGACATATACACCAAGAAAAGCGTGTTCTTAGAATGATGCTTAAGATAAAGATGGGTGCTTATGGCGAGCAGGAAAAATAGGGTCAAAGGTTGACAAGACGACCTCCTGAGGTCCCTTCCCACCTGAATTATCCTATAAGACTATGTTTTTAAACATAAACTCACTTCAGAGTGTGATGCACTGTTCATAAAAGTCTGAAGAAAAAGAAATGGCATTATATCCATTTATGCTGACAGGTTGTTGCAGTATCCCCACATTCATCTCATGCATAAAGTATGCAACAAATGTGTTGTAACCATCTCTTAAAGCAGCTGAAGGATCAGAGAAATTTTCTTTTGACAAAGGAGTTACTATCGCTTTTTAGACCATGAAAAAAAAGGTGCCTCTTTCTCAAGCTTGGCTTAGATGTTTGGGCATTTGAGCAGTGAACATAGGACAACAAATAAAAGTTGTTTTTCAGTTTAGACTCTGTTGACACATGCATTGGCATGTTTTAGATATGTTCTAATTCTTCTGCAGGGAACTTAATCTCTAGGGAAATTTTTCAAGATAGCCCAATGGCAGCCTGTCCAGCTCTGCAGCATTGAAACTGATTTTGTATCTAACATAAAGGAACTGTTTGAGCTTAACGAAAACAAAACACAGTTCTTGAATTTCTTGCTGCTGTTGCTACAAGTAAAAGCGATCACAAACTGTTATTTTAAAATATGACTGAACTTAACCAAAACTGAGTCTTAAGCATGCTGACTCAACTTTCTCATTCTTATGTATAGAGACTTGTTCTTTAAGCACAAATAAATTTATTCCAGATATGAATATGAATATGCACAGAGTGTGTCAGGATTTATGTTTCTGGCTAGAAATAAAAGTAGCATAATCATTAAAGACACCAATTTCCACCTGTGTTTATCTGTGTTCGTCTCTGTGTTCCTGGTTTATTGTTTCTTTTAATAAGACTCTGCACCCTCAACAGAGCCGTAAAAGTGCAAACTTTTAGTAGTTGTTACTTCTTTTTTTCTTTTTTTAGCATTTTCTTTTATGTCTTGGAACTATTTTGCCATTTGATTAAATTTGAACAAGGAAATTGTGCAGGATATATTATTTACTAAAAATAACTTGCCAACATGCATAAAAAGAATTGCTTTGATGAGGATTCTCTGAGCAGGATACAAAGTGAAAGTATAGTTGGAGGCCTTTGGTGTTTAGAGAGATGCATATATTATCTAAAATGGACTGATCTCAGCCTGTCAAAGGCTTTTTTCATACTAGAATAGTGTGCAGGAAAATCCAAATGACACAATACAGCATTATGTCATGCTTGCTAGGATCCTGGCTCTCTGAGAGGCTGTATGCCCTCACTGAGTTACTGCTGACTTTCAAAAGAATCTGAAGATGCTCAGAGTCCTTCCTAGGACACACAGATTCTCCCAGGATGAGCAGGGGATACCCATAAGCCCTCTGCAAGGGTAGTGTCACCTTCCAAAAACAACCCTTGGAACAAATTCAGTTCTTTATAGTCAGTAACCTAAATGCCATGTCTCGTGGAAAACTATAGATCTCCAATGTTATTAATATCCTGGCTTTGGGAGACACACACATTGACCTCTATTCCTAAAATGTACCTTTGAGTGAGGAAAGCGTATTGTACAAAACATAAGGCAAGCATTTTTACACAATAATTATTGGACCTGATGGATAGAGGGGTAATTCAGACATTCACAATAATTTCTAGAGGCAGATACATTTTGTAGGGTCAAAACATTGAAGTTCTTCATGTTTAACAAGATAGTGACAAATTTCATGGCCACTGGCCTCTTGTTCTGAAAGAAGCTACTGATATCTTGTTCTCTCTCTCTTTCTATCTTTTTTTCTCCTACTCTCCAATGTTAAAGTGGTCCAGCCTTTGAAAAGTCAGCTCAACATCAGACCTCATTCCTAGCCTGGGAACCCAAAATGGGAACCCTGGGCATGCTAAAAAGTCCAAATGTATGATAGATGGTTTTAGAAGTCAAATATGGGTTGAGAACAGGATCGGCATTGAGATTTCTGCCATATAACACCAGAGACTGTTGCAGTGACACTGAGGGTGACCTTCCATCTGTGGTATCAATCTAACATAGTAGGAAATATATGCTAGTGTGCAGAGAACACTGTATGCTGCATCAGTGGCAGCAGTGGTTTCCTTTTGTGCGGAAGTGTTGCTGTTTGTTTACACATTCTGTCATAGATGGTGCTTTACTGCATTTTTTATTGCTGGGGTACTGCATGTGATGCTCTGTCAGAAGCTTGGATGTAAAGCAGTCCCGTGCTAGTGGGAAGAATCCTGAAAGGAGGAAACACCCAGCCAAATTGCAGACTTGTAAGGAAGAAGCGAATTTTCTTGGGAACCTAGAAGGGTCTGAGTGGAGTAGGTGCAACTCAAGAAGTCACTGAAAGTTGATGGACTTGGTGGGCCGGGATTTCCTCCGCGATGCTCAGAAAATGGTGTTCCTTTTCTGAGGGGGTGGGGTTGTTGAGCATGCAGAAAGGGGGCGTTTGGGGCTGTGGGGCAGTGGGGTTGTTGAGCATCCAGAAAGAGCATTTACCTTCCACCCGGGCATCATATATAGAAAGGGAGTTGCCAACATATCTAATGCATGGGGACATAATGAGAAAGTGCTTCCTCTATTATATCAGCAACCAAAGCTTTACCAAAGGGCAGCTGTTTTTCCATGCACATGTAAGCTTAGGATACTGAGTTGCAGCAAAATACAGAACCGTGAATATGGCAAAGAAAGGAATATGCAAACTAAACTTAGTGCTACAGCATTTTCAAACAAAGCCCTGAGCTATCAATGAGTTCTTGTGTGCCAAGGATGTGGGATTTGCTGTATCTGGCATGTGCAGGTCCTCAGAGCTTGAATGGAAAACATGGCCATTTTTTAATCCCCATTTTTCATATTTTCAGCATATCACATGGATGCACGTTGACTAAGCCTTTGTAAAATCTGGGGTAATGGAAATATGGGTTAATTTCTTTTTTTTTTTTCCCAAAATGTAATTTTTTTCACTGATTGCAAAGGGCTAGATTAAGCTCTTCTAAGGGGATAAAACAATGCAAAGTATGGCAGCATTAATAATTAGAAAGCTTAAATTCAGAAACTGTTTTCTTCAAGATTTGGTGCCACTGCAGGTAGACAGTGTGTGTGGAAAGAATGAAAGGTGACAGCTGGACTGTAAATTCATGCAGCTGCAGAGTTTCTTTGTTTAATGCTTGAATACCATTTGGCTCAGTGGCGTTTTGGTCTGTGACTGGGCTCATCATACAAATAAATGGAATGTTTTCTTTTTGGCCCTGAAGGGAACAGGCATGTGTTTGTGCTGCATATGTTATCTGAGCAAATTCAGACCTAGCATGGCACCGTTACATCCAAGAGATCTTCAGGTCACAGCAGGGTTTCAAACAGCTCCTTCCAAGATGTTTTTGGTGACTTTGTGGTCTAGCTGTATAGTGATGCCCAGGGACACAGGAGCCAGCTGGCAAAGGTCCTCATCCACAGCCTCTCAAAATCTATTTTTGTGGGCCTCAGTGGGATTGGAATTAGGGTTTTTAGGCTGAAGTTCCCATTGCTTGATGCCAGTAATTGTGACAGTTATTCCAAAGTGTTCATCAGTTATGATTTTCGTGACAGCCTTCATAGCTATATTTTCCAGAGCCTCCAAAGACCTGGTCTGTTTAGGCTACAGAAAAAGCAGTCACAAATGCATTTATTTGTATTTAGGAGATATGGCATTATTAAATGTTCATTCTCCACATGTGCTTCAGACAGTATTAGTAATAATAAAATGTTCTGTGGTACTGATAAATGCTGCTTTCACATACACATCTCTGGTAGATTTTGGAGCTATCTGATAAGTTTCTCAGGGGAGGAGAAACAATTACAGTAGTTACACATACAGAATATTCTTTTCCTCTTTCTACCTGTTTGCCTCTAATAAACAGAAAACTTCTAATTTCTTTTGCACTCTGTCACAGCAGAAATTAATGGAGTAAATGCACATGCTGCTTTACTTTGCCAGAGACTGGCTTATACAACAGATTTTTACTCTGTGAGACAGATTTTGCTGTATTTGTGCTTTTTTCATCTCCCCCTAAGGAGTATTAACTCAAAGCAATCACAAGACGCCCGTCCTTGCCTGCTGCTTCTTGGACTGCTGTATCCTCTTCTTTGCTTCTTGCTTCTCTATTTGAAGCTGCTTTTTTTCTTTCTTTCTCTCCCCCCCCCCCCTTTTTTTAAGAGGAAAGAGCAGCAACAACAAAAAAAAAAATAAATCTAAGGGCTGTCTCCTTTCCTAAATCACAACTATTTGATGTGAGAAAGCTGAAGCATGTAAAACCCTTTTGTTCACACAGAATTTACTTTCCACAACTGTGTTCTTTCTACTCAAGTCAAGATAGGTAGAGTACTCCGTAAAGTACAGTGTTGGAAAAGGAAGACGTGTACATGCTTTGAAAATGCTGAGCTGCTTGTGAACTATAGACACGGCATGTTTATGACTTGGTTTTCTAAGCAATCTCCAGAGCCTGAACGGATTACAGTGATATTTTAACAAGGCTGCTGGCATCCATCACCAGCTTTCACTTAGTGAGAAAGCTAAAAGATGGAAGAATGTAATTATTTCCCTGTAAGCTAAATGGTAGTGGCTGATTGTCAAGAGAACTTTGATGCTTTAAACTTCTTCATCTCCTGTAAGGCAAACAGGTAAGTCTCGTGGGTTTCGCTTCAGCATTCATTTTGGTAACGGAGCAGGGGCTAACAGGGGAATGGTGTCAAAGGAAAATGAATTTGATATGAAAGCAAACTGTATTTCTAAAATTTTAAACGTAATATTGCACATTGTCATTTTCTGTCTGTCAGGTTACAAATCCACTACCAATAAGAAATATTACTGCATTCCACAGTCAAGATCTGAATCTCACTCCAAATTAATCCTGAATATAAACAACTATTGTATACATTTATATGCTATTGGAAGAGGATGTGTTTATCTGTCATCTGTGCATAGTTAAGTGTCTGTGTCTAAACCTCTTTCTGTCATCTTACAATTACTTCTGGATCAATTACCCTGGTTAAAACAATGGTATTCCATATGATAAATGCAGTAACATGTATAGGATTGTATTTTCTAAAGATGACTTTTGTTGAACATGTTTTCCCTGAAAACATGATTTCCTGAACTGAAATCTTTGGGCAGCTTACATTTCAAATGAGTCCTGCATCACTGTAGAAATACTGTGGTTAAAAAAAGGGGTTTCCTAGCTCTTAAATGGGGATCTAACAGCATCAAAAACAGGTATTTCTTTCCCTTTAACCCTTGAAAAAACACTTATTCTTTTTGACTAATGGCACTGCTGTGCCTCTAGAGGTAAGGTTTCCTGTTTAAAGACTTTTAACCTAAAGGACTTGATTACCATTAGGAAAAAAAAGGACCCTTTGACCATAAATAGTTTTTATCTTAGTGAAGTGTTTTTTTTGTCCTCTGGGAACATTTGCTTTCTTACATATTGTTATTATCGAAGGGCAAACCTTTTACATAGTTCTCAAAGATTTTTGTCCACAAGAATGACTGTCAGAGAAGAGAGTATTTTGAAGTAAAAAATATTAATACATTTTTTTGTTTTAAAATATAATTGTTTACAGAAAGCAATTAATTTAAGCTCCATTCCCAATCTGGCTGTGATAATTGAAAGAAAGCCTGCCAGCAGACACAATTAGAAATAAACTTCTAAGAATAATTATATGTGCAATTAACAGAAGACTGAGTTATTATCACTTTCTCCTCCATATAGTAATTCTGCATTAAAACATGAGAAATGGCTCTCATTAAAATCTCACAGCAGATCAATCCACAAAAGGGAGTGAGACATTAAAACAGAGCATTCAAGATATGCAAATAGTACAATTAATTAATTAAACAGAGACCAGCACCAAGGAAAAGCCTGAAATAAATTGAACATTTAAGAAATAGGTATGTCATGTTTAGGATGGTTTGAGGTTTTTTTGTTGTTTGTGGTTTTGTTTTTTGGGGGGAGGGCGGAATATTTGCTTTTAAAAGGGATACCTCAGAGTACCTTGTGGATTTATATTTGTAGATTTTGCTTTTACCATTTAGCTCTGAAGAATTCTTCTGAATACCTGTGCTTTATTCATCTGTATAGTTTTCAAATTGTTAATTAATGGGAGTAATTACTTACGAAGGATTTAAAAGAGCCTGAGAGAGTAGTGTGCTTTACCCCCAGCTACAGAGCATTCTCTGTCGAACTTCAGGGACTTACTGAGCTGCTCCCAGTGACTTTCACCAGAAAGCTGCTTACAAAGGTATCTCTGGTAGTGGCAAACAGAAAACCAAACCAAACTCGCTGATGAGTCTTCTGTGAAACAAAGAATAAACAGGCATGTATTGAAAGGCTTTACCAGGCAAAATACTGTGATTCTGGAGAATGACAGTTTTAAGAATAGAAAAGCCTACAGTTACTTAAACGTGGCTTCTGTCAGTGCAGTATTAACCCAACATTTACAGTTTGCATTTTAGAGTATTTAATAATGTCTTGGCTACTTTGCTGTTGTGCAGTATTCATGCTGTCTCTAGCTCTGGATCATATAAATATTCAGGTTATTTTACTTCGGCTTCGAAGTTAACCTAGGAAGGGAAATCTCCACCTCTTCTATTAAAGAAAAAAAAAATTAAAATAAAAATTAAAAAAAATAAAGAAGAGAAAGAAATTTTTATTCTGTAGTATTAAATAGTAATGTCATGTAATACACACCAAGAGCTTAACAAAACTGTAGTAGGACTAGTTTAACCAAGCCTGTCTAATCTGTCATTAGCATGCTATTTCATTACCATATTATTATTTTTTTGCCTGGTGGGTATATTGCCTGTTGAGAAATAATGTGAATATTTATTCAGCAGTAATAACTGTTGCTGCTTAAGAGGTTGTTGGTTTTTTTTTTTACCGTGTGTGAACATGCTTATCTAGAAAAGGATTTCAGGCAGATGATCACTCTTGGGATTCAATGAATTCATGCATTGGATGTCCTATTTTACTACATGGCTCTACAGCAAGATTACTCTTTTTCTAATGCAATTCCAGTTCGAACTTGGACACTGCAAACATCACCACATCTCAGAAAATAGTACCTGCCTTTTGGAGTGGTTTAATCTACACATGGAACTAGTCTATTAAAGCAGCATTAGAGGAGCAAGTCTGACTCTATTTGGTGCAACAGGCTAAGCAGTTTCTGTCTGAGACTGTAATAGGCTCCTCAGAGGCAAGTCCTTTTCCCATAGAAACTGGGGAGCATTTAGCCCCCAGAGGAGTAGCATCAGACCACTTGTTTTGGTGTGTAACTCATGTTCAGTATTGATGACCCCAAAAAAATGCAAATGCCACTGCATCTTGCTTATACAAAACACCATTTTAAGTCAAGATGTCCCTTTTTTAAGTGAGATTATGAATTTATGTTCCATTGTGTGCAAAGAAGTTAATTTCAAACCAGATTTTCTTTTTCTGAAGAAAAAAATATACTTAGTGTATGTATTTTCTGCAGTTAATATAGCTGTGCTACTAGCTAAGTAGTCACATATTTTATTCAGCTATATTGAAAAGCTATTTTTAGGATTAGGGTGATGTAAGGGAAGCAGTGCTACGTTGCCAGTACACAGCCAATTTAAACTGAAACTAACTCAGCAATGGACAGTTATTACTGCGTATGTACTGTTACTAGCTACACTGGTGTAAATTAGAGACAATTTCATTCCAATAGGTAACTGTAGGAGGTTTATTTTACGATAAACAAAATTCAAATCAGATCCATTAAAATTTATTTCAGACTAACTTGGGAAAGTATAAGCAAGCCCAACAATTAGTAACCACAAGCTGTAATCTTTTATTATTCTTTAGTTAGCAGTTAAGTTGTAGTAAAGCAGCATTCATGGAAGATGAAGGAGAACAACAAATCTAAAATATTTTGCATTTTGCTGTTCTTACTTACAACTGATTATATTATTTTCTTACCATAGCAAGTTTTGGGCAAGTATGATACCCTAGTCTGATTTGCACTGATGGAAACTAGAAAAGACTGAGACCAGTTGCTACATAAAATATTGAAAATAATTATTACAGTAAAGTTATATTAAAGTATATTAGAAATAGTCTGTAGGGATTCTAAGTATACTGCATGTAGATGGAATTATGTGTACATTCTCTGTCATGCTTTCGGATATTTTTTTTAATGAAAGCCTGTTTCTTACATTTAGATTTTCCAGTTAATTGCTGATGATGATCTAGAAATGCACTCACTGAAACTCAGGCTCTCATGCATGTATTATGGCATTTCAACTAAAAAAGGCAAAAAATCAATTCAGTTGTTTGTGCTGTGATTGGCTGAATAGTAGTTGCAACAGAGAATATTGAAAGGTCAAAAAGAGAAATATATCCAGAACTTATTTGAAAATTATTTTCACAGTTTTTTTATTAAAATTTGGTTAATAACTAAGTTATACCTTCTGTTTAATACTTTAAATATTTTTGCACAGCCTGTGCATATCTTTGCATTTATTTTACAATTACTTTTATGTAATTTTATGTATCTTTTGCATACAATGCTGCTTTGAAAAATCTAATTCAGTTCTCAGATGGCAGCTACCAGAAAAGGTACATCTTGCAAGGAATAAAGCGATAGTCTCTATCAAGTATTAAACTATGGTTACAATGAAAGCAAATATTTTAGTAAACAAGCAATTTCATTTGCTTCTAGCAGCCAGGCAATACTGTAGCAGTCAGCTGGGTGAACTGGGGAGGAGGTTTCCCTTGTCACTCAGTTCAGAGCCTGCATGGGTGGCCTGCGCTGCCCTGTGGGAAAGCACCTCCTGACCAAAGTGGGTGCTCAGGCTGTCTGACCTGTCTGACACTTGCAGGGAGATTCCTGGGAGATTTTTCTGCTTCAGCTTAAGGCCTGACAGCCTGTGACCACATCTTCCAAGTCTCCAGAAGCCTCTGCTCTGCTTCAGGCTAGGGGACAGTTGCCCAGAACAGTAAGGAACCTACACCACCCCACTGGCCTCACTCCCTGAAGCACAGGCATCCACCCCCAGCCAGAGGAAGGCATCATTTCCCTAGCCTGGACCACCACTTCGCACTTGCTGCAGCTCTCCTTGCCTTCTACAAATGTCATCCTTCCACTTGGTCTTTTCCTACACTAGAACATACTGATGGAACAGGCTTTTTTTTTTTCTTCCCATTCATCTCCCTGGGGGCTTTCTCTTGCCAGGTCTCAGCAACATGGAGGAGCCAGTCTAAGATCTGAAACTGGGCTTCTCCCCAGCCAGTTGCCATGGCTTGCTGCACCTCTCCATTATGTTGATGACCAGGGTCTTGCAGTATGGACCTTACCTGTCTACAGGACTTGAACACAGAGGGTTGCTGCTGGTCTGATTTGACTGCAGTAACTGATGTGGTTTTGAAGGGACACCAGTTGTGCCATTCCCCCGGGAATAAGGGCTGACTGGGACCTAGCTTGCTCTGGCACTTAGGCTCACAGGACACTCATTTCCTCAAAGGGGATAATGCTACTATTGAAAGGATAGAAAGGTGGGAAAAGATAAATAGAAAATGGAATAGGAAGAGAACACATGTATTAGTCAGCCTTTTCAATGCATATTAGAATGCATTTATATGAGATTAAATTCAAGCCTTGTGTAAGTAAAAGAGAGATATTGTACTTGCTTTCTGTAAGAGACAGAATTTTATCTTTAAGCAGCTTTGCATTTTCCAAAAATAAAAAATAAAAAATCGCACAAATATTGACATCTCCAAACCTATTTCTCCTACAATTTCTTTTAATGATCTGATGGCTCCTTCCTACCTGCTAGTTTGCTTTCATTTTGAAATCACCAGTTGTTGACTTGTTTCCTTCCTATAGTTGTTTTGTTTTATTGCCTTGCCCTTCAGCTGTACTTCCTTAGCACTTTTTATGATATTTGCTCCAATACAGAGAGCTTCAACACTGTGTTTGGCATTCCACCTTGTAAATATAAAGTACAAAAAGAGATACATTATTATTAATTTTTTGACAGGCTTTTTAAAGTTTGTACTGTTGAGGATTAAAATGGGCACTGGCATGAATGTAAAGGGTTACAGTGGAAAAGATAAAACAATTACAGCTTATGTTGAAACAAATCTTTCTTTACTATGTGAAGTGAAATGGTGAAATGTATGATGCAATATGTTCATACACACTTAATGTCTTCATAAGAATTTGGGAATTCTCTCCACCCCTTTGTTCCCTTAGTCTAAATGTCCATAGATTTTCCAGGCTTTCATCACTCCCAAATGCTTACTCCTCCTTATCCCCCAGTTTTTTCTCTATTTCTATAGTTTTAATGTATTATATACCTGAAAGCTTGTGCTAGCTTCCCTTTTCTGTTTAGTCTGATTATACAAATTCCAAGGAAAAAGTAGTCTAAGAAAAAAAGATATTTAAACACTATTTAACCTTATTATCACACTTAGTTGAAGCAGTACCCCTTGTTTCCCTGTTGCTGTGTATACGTGGCTTACTTCCTAAGACAGACACTGTCTCTTTGGTACCTTTTACTTTTGCATGCACTCACGTGCATTGCTATGCACACGTAATTTCACACTTAGTTTTCTGTACTCCAGTGGTCAGTGTGTGATAAAACACTCCCTAAAAAGTGACAGAAGAGTAAAGGCTCAGATAAATTTTTAATCTAGAAAAGGACAAGAATAAGAACAGAGCTAATGAATTTTATGTACATGAAAGGTAGTTGCACTGAGGAATGGAGGAGCTCTTTTCCTTTATTATTTAAATAGGACAAGAAACAGTGTGTTTAACTTTGCAGCACTGGAGCTTAGAAATACCCTTCTTGTAGTTACAGTACTGAGACTTTGGAATAAATTGCCTTTTAAAAGCATGGAGTTTCCAGAAAGGAGACTTGTAAGCACTGGTTAGAAAGCCCTTTCCCAGAATTAACATTTGTGCGATTGATCCTGCTGTGAGACAGAGGTTGGTTATCTCCCTTTCAGCCCTGCTTTTTGTCATTCTTCAGCATGTTATTGCAAACAAGTAAACTTGTGGGCCAAAGGAAGCAATGTCACCTATGAGCAGTGACATGCAACAAAATACAGTGTTTACATCAGCAGCTGCTAGAGGAAACTTTGTTGGATTTATTCCTATCTAGGAATAAAGATGAGGTACTATGAGAGATAAGCAAAAGAAATGTCCAAAGAGTCAGAAGAGATAAATGGAGGATCAGTGATACCAGATAAATTACATAAATCGGTGACCGTATAAATCAAGAACAGTATGTTTATTATGTGTGAGTTTACTGTGCTTAATATGTTAGAAGACCTCCGGAGCTACATTTTCATGGAGTGGGTGAACTACGCCACCTCTTCCTTAGACATACCCTGCTGTATTCTGCTGTTGGTAGGAGGTTAAACGACTTTCATTTACTAAGTCAATACCAAAGTTCCCATATGACTCTGTATGCTGTACTTTGGGGATAAGGAATACCCAGTATGTGCTCTTATCAATAGACATATTGGATGAACTGAATAGGTTCTGCACTCTGTTTCACGTAGCAGCTCTTCTAACCTCATCTAGTCATCTTTCCTGAGCTTTGAATATATGTGAAGCATCTGGCATTGCTAAGAAGATGAGGCTAAATGGTAGATCTTTCTTGGTAAAGCATGAAAGCAGAGTGTAGTGGGGTAAGGTACTGTCAGAAAAAAATAATCTTTTGCTTAAGATAACCTGTCCCCTTTTCACAGAGACCTGGTGTTTGCTGTTTAGATAGTGCACACAACTTATAGGTTGGAGTCTTTCAAGGGCAGAATTAGATAATTCTGTTCATGTGACTGCAAGCAAAGGCGATCCTCAGGCCCTTGCCCTTTAACTTGTCCTATCACTGCAACAGAATAAAGAGCTGATCTAGCTCATGCCTTTGACAGTAATCATGTGTGAACAGTTTGGCCAAGACCTGATACTGCGCTTACTGCCAGGTCACAGGGAGAGAAATCCTGAGGTCTTTTCATTTTTTGCGCCTTACCTGTGCAATGGAAAGACAGCTTGGTCAGTGATGAACAAATGCCATAATCTGACTGAGGATTTATCCAAAACAAGAGCACAATAAAAATGTCTTGTTTCAGACACTGTGGTGGTCTGGAGATTTTTTTCAGGCTCTAATGCCACAGAAGTCATTGGAAGACCTGCTACAGATTGCAGTGGTCAGGTCCTGTTCAGGGTCCATCCACTTGGCAACCTTGCAGATGTTCCCTATGCAGCCATCAGTTGAGGCACTCTAGGAGGAACCCCTTTGAGCCAGCTGCAGGCTACATGGCCTCATTGCTGCTTCTCTCCTGTGAGGAACTTAAACAACATCGGTTAAAGCATTGCAAGGTTACGTCAGAGCTCCATTTTGCAGTCTCTGGCAAAGACATCCAGGCCATTCCTCTGGATGGTGGCTCTGGATTACTGTTGTACCCTTACAGCCAGAGAAGTGTCTGCTCTGTCTGACGGGCAACATGAAAAACAGGTCAGAAATAAGCAGTAAATTTGCCTTGTTATTGCAGGGACAGAGCTTAAGTGGCTGCAGCTTCAACTGGAAAATCACTTTGAACTCATGAGTTGACATAGCCATGTCAACTTGTTATTTTTTGATGGCGTCTTTGCAGTGCGCCTGTAGAACACAGAGGGTTAACTAAGCTTCACTTTTCAGAAGGAAGCTGCATCACACTTGTTTACTTGCCTCTCACCATGGCTGGGGTCTTTCCTATGCCCCCCTGGCCTAAGTACCCCCTGCAGGGCAGCTGCGGGACCGATGCCCTTTGGGGCTGCAGAGGTGCTCGCCTGAGTTCTCCCAGTGCTGCACAGGGTGGGAGCAGTAAGCCACGTCCTCTCCCTGATGTATTAATGGGGGCTTTTCCTTTTCTTTACAAAGCTTCCCTGCAGGTCAGCTGAGGGCATCCTGAGGAGGGTGAGGGAGCCCTGAGAGGAAGAGGGTGGTAGGAGAGACCATCCCCTCTCTCTGATGCTGTTGCTGATGCTATGCTGGAGCCCTCGTAGATGTGGCTCCCCAGAGTTAGTTGCTCAGCAACCAGAATCAATTAATATGCTTTGCAGAAAGTGCAGGGAAGCCCAAGCTGCTGTCAGTGAGAAGGCAGGAGGCTGAGGGTGACTCAGGATCCCACTCCCTCCTGTCACCCATTTGGTCCCACCCCATCCTCTCCAAACTCATCATTAGCCACCGCTCTTTATCCTTTTCTTCCCTACGGTGACTTAGTGTGTGTGTCCCCAAATTCTTCAGGCAAAGTATCTTCTTGGTCAAGAAATTCCCTGCTTTCAGTGTTTTGGTTTTAGATCTAATTTGTGTTTTGGGGTTATTTGTCAATCTTTCTGCAACACTTTTCTAGAAATTCTAATATTCATGTTCTTTGGGAAGGAGGGAAAGAGCTGATGTTTTTGTCAGATTGTTTTAAAGATTCCTCAGGATAAGAAGGGTTGTTTGGCAGTGCACAGCTGAGCAGCAGTAATGAAAATGCATCATGTACGATTTGGGAAAGTTTTTGCTTCTTCTTTTATTACAAGTAATTAGCAATGCATATATGAGACCAAAGAGGTAGTACTGACTATTGTTGAATACATAGACAATAGAATAAATGAGGGGTTGTTGTTTTGTTTTCTTCTCCTTTTCTGCATAATAACTTCAGGGCTTCGATAAGGTATTTTCTTTCTTTGATTTTCTTTGGAGTTCCTCTGATGACACCACGAATCTGGGAATGAAGAACTTCTTAGAGCTAATTGGAAATGGCATTGCGGAGCTGAGACTTAACTGGAGGAAATATATCTCCTGAAGAAGAAAAATATAATGCACTGTAAGGACCTGACTTCTGGTGAAAAATTCAAGCCTAGAGAAAACTTGTCTGCTTTGTTAGGAAGAATGGGTTGGACAATTTTCTTCAATTCCAAAGGATTTCTGAATGCCATGCTGAGCTTAATCTCTGCAGCATGCTTTGTGCTTCTCATCTCTTCCTGATGCACTACATGGTAAGGCCTTTTTCCTTCCTTTTAATAATAACAACCATATTTCTGTTACAGTGAGAGGTAAAACTAAAAGCAACAACCAAATGAATATTAAAAAAAAAAAACAAACATAAAGTTAACAAAAGAATTTTTGTTTGTATGGTCGTTTCCAGGAGCAAGTATCCTGATTACTGCAGCAGCATTGTAAGATCATTTCTGTCTTTCTTCCTTGCTGTGCGACTGTGTGTGTGTGTATATATGTTTGTGCACACCTGTGCTTTCATTTGCACTTGGACTGGAACATTAGTAGCTGCATTGTACATATTTCCATGCTAAAAAGGATGCTTAAGAATTTGCTTTGGCATTTCTCTCTTCTTCCTCTCCCCGCCCCCCCCCCCCACCCCCCCCTTTCCCTCCTCCTGCCTCCTCTTTCTCTTCTTCTGTTTGTCTCTCTGGGGTCTCTGCACCTCAGTCATGTACTGACCACTAGAAGGCAAAAATAGAAGGTAGAAGAAATCCAGTGCCAATGCAAGAATAGTTCTGAGTAAGTATTATCTGAGTAGATAAAAGCTGCAGGAGAGATTAGTATGTCTGCAAGATCTGCAGGTACAAAAGATTTACTTTCTTTTGTTTCCCATGGGAAATAAATATCAAATGCAGATTTGGATGCTGTGTTTTAGATACAGTGCAAGGCAGATACTCCTGCGCATGTCAGAAAGCCAAAAAATGACCACTGTGAATTATGACAATGTTACTCTTGATGACCCAAGTAATAAAATAAGCAAACCTAGCACGAGATGTCCTCATATCAAATAATTTTTGTCATGTATTAGCAGGGTGTTGAGAATCATTATAAATGGCTTCAGTGGATGTTACAAGATATTTTTCATTAACAGTTGTAGTGTACTTACATCTCCCTGAATGAAAGGTGCTAGGGGAGTACTACGTGATGTTATTAAGTAACTACCCAACTTATCAAAATTTTGGGTCATTATCAGCAAATTGTCAAGCAGATCGGGAATTATATAGTGAGTGTACTGAGACAGGAGAACAGATTATTTTTCCAGAAAGCCTGGTTTTCTTGCATCTCTTTTTCAGAAATTAGGGTAGAACAAAAAGGTGAAAGAATGGTGATATATGTTTTTCTTATACATTCTGGTTGTTCACTGAGTGCGGAAGAGGGAAATCTGAGTGCCTCTTGAGAAGCAAACTCTGGTAAGGGCCTGCCCCCACTCTGAGGGTAATCCCTCGCAAATCCCACTGCTTTTGGGGTTAGAAACAGACCAGGAGTGGGTTTGTGTGACAGTTGTCACTGGCTGTCCTGCTGGGTATGGAGGTTATGGGTTCCTGGCAGCAGGTTTTGAGGGGGAGAGGTAAGCAGAGAGCCAAAACAAAAAGGCCAGGCCAGGCCAGGCCATACCAGGACTCATGAGCAAGCATCAGAGCTTAAATTCTATCCAAATAATGGAATTTTGTGGTAGTACCCAATACATCTCCTCCTTGTATGACGGACTCTGTAAGAGAGTTTTTAGAGAAAGAACAGTAATAAAGCCTTTTCCGATCACTGCCTGAAGAAGAGATAATACAAACATATTCCTGTAGTGTGACAATTTTTCAATAGGGTTCAGAGGAAACACCCTCGATTTTAGGAGTTCAAAGTATGCATTAATGTGAACTGAGGTAATTTGTGTGTTTTACCACCTAAAAATGTGGCTAATATAAAAACCAGTAAGGAAAACTGAGAAAGGACAACAAAACCCGTAAAGGTTATCGAAGTAGTCCCCTCAGCTCTTTATTTGAACAAGTACTTCACCTTAAGTTCAAGTTTCCCAGTTGAAATCTCTCCTCACATCAGCAGCTCTATTCCAATGGGACAACTTGTACAAGTGTCATGGTTTAATGCTAGCCAGCAACTAGGCCCCACGCAGCCATTTGCTCATCCTCCCCCAGTGGGAGGGGGGAGAGAATCAGAAGAGTAAAAGTGAGAAAAATCCTGGGTTGAGATAAAGACAGTTTAACAGGTAAAGCAAGAGCTGCATGTGCAAGCAAAGCAAAACAAGGGATTAATTTACTTCCCATGGGCAGGCAGGTGTTCAGCCATCTCCAGGAAAGCACGACTCCATCATGCATAACGGTTACTTAGGAAGAGAAATGCCACCACTCTGAACATTCACCCCTTCGTTCTTCTTCCTCCAGATTTTTATGCTTTATGTGGCATGGAATATCCCTTGGGTCAGTCAGGGTCAGCTATCCCAGCTGTGTCCCCTCCTAACTTCTTGTGCACTCCCAGCCTGCTAGCTGGTGGGATACTGTGAGAGGAAGAAAAGGCCTTGACTTTGTCAGCACTGCTCTGCAGAAAGGAAAAGGTCTCTGCATTATCAACACTGCTTTCAACACAAATGCAAAACATAGCCCTTACTAGCTACAATGAAGAAAATTAATTCTAACCCAGGCAAACCCAGCACATTCTCCTCCCCGTATTTCATACCATTTATGTCATGTTTAGGTCTCACACTATCCAGCACATTCTCTTTAACCACTGTTGGTTAAAAAAACCCACCTTTTTATATAATATGCAGGTATCATTCCCTTAATCTATGAATCACCCTTGTAAAAAGTCCTTAAAATGTCCAAAAATGTCCACAAAATGTCCCTTGAGTTAATTTAGTCCATGACTTGGGCTTCATCTGTTGGTCACATAGGACAGGAGAAGTCAAAACCACCACAATGAGTAAGAACTACTCATGTGGATAAATTATGAACGGTTTTATAAGATCAAGCTCTTTGATTTTTATGGCAACAGATTTATTAGGCTTCAGGCATAATTCGTATTTCCCTTCTAAACAAAATCAGTTGTTCTTTACCCATGTGAATCCTTTTTCCTTGTAATTAGGACAAGAAAAATAGGTTAATTACATTCTTAAAGATAATGCAACTGTACAGATACGTTGTTAGTGAAGAATTATCAGAGTATGCAGAAGTTTACTTTTATTAGTGGTCTCCAAATCCAGGAAGTGTAGTCTTATTGGAATCATTCATTGTCTTATTTATTTTTGTGACAGTGTTAGCATTGGTACTAGGTATTTTCAATTCTTCTGGCAACTAAAAAAAAATAAATAGTTCCTTTAAACTGTCACTGGTGTTATAAAAATACTCACTATTATAAGGTTCGAGGATACTTTTCAAGCTTTCTACTATATTAGATATTCATTTTATAGTTAATAAATGCTGTTTAGCTCTTTGCTTGATCCAGGAACATTTTTACCTTTAGGGTTTAGAAACACAGTATGAAGTCATAATTATAGTAAGCTTCCTGCAGAATATAGATATATATTGAAATAGGAAGCATAAAATCATCTGATTTTCTTCTTCTGTGCAATTTTTTGTGCTTATAAATGTCTGTATTGTTGATATATATCACATAACAAGTAATGTTTCCTTTATTATAGTTTATAAAGAACAGTTATTTTTCAAAATACATAGGATTTTGCACGTATAGCAAACTTTAAAATACATCCAGTACATTAATGCAGCAGTAGGCTTGTTTCTTTCTTTTCTCTATAATAATAGCAACATATACATAGGAAGAATAGTGGATTATTTTCTAAAGAGTGTGTGATGTTGAGAAAGAAGATTTTGCATGATACAGGATGTTCATTGTAACAGATACTTCTGTCAATGTTTTACTGTGACTTAGAACTTTTTCTTCAGTGACATCTTTAATCATTTAAACATTTGTACAACAGCTGTATTTGGCTTGCTCTGTCAATTCTGAAGCAAGTAAAATTAGTAATTTCCTTTCCTTTTAAGATACTATTCAGTGAAGGTCTGATTCTGAAAACACAAGTATTTCATTTTAGTCCATTGAACTGTTTCTTTAGATAAACTCTGTGAGTTAGATCTTAAACCCTCTGCATTATCAGGGAAGTGATAATGAACAGTGGAAATGCATTCCACACTTGCATCAACTATTTCTGGTAAAGAAAAATGTAGTTGAATAATACAGCACATAAGCACAACACATTCCTGTACTTGGAATGCCTCAAGCTATCTTGATTCAAGATCCAGCAAAAACTTTGAAAGGCCTGCAAAATCAAAACACAAACCAAATGGGTCTTAACTTTTGTTGTTTAAACATAAATAGACACAGAAGGAATATTTATCTGACAAAAAAATTCAGTAGATCGGCATCTGTGCTTTTCTTACATCAGGCTGAAAAAATGGAAAAGGCATAATGTTTTTCAAAAATGAAAAGCTCTACAAATCCATATGTATGGAAATACTGATTTCAAAATGATATGCCATTTCATGTTAGCATTTTTAATTTTTCACTTGTCATAAGAAATTGTACTTATATCTGTGTATCTGTTTTTCTCAGTGAAAATTTGCAACACTAATTTTGTTGGGGTTTTCTTGTGACAGGGAAATATTTTGTTCTATATGTTTTAATTAGATCTGTTGTAGCTGCCCCAATATTTATTGGCTTTCATAGGTCAGTCTTTAATTAGACGCTCTCTAAAGGGCCATCCTTAAGAAAACATATCGTATAGCCTTGTATTACTGGTGCTGAACAGCAGTTCTTACCAGGTCTATGGTAGACATCAGCTTTCATTGTTATTCCGTCCCTTAATTCTTCTTTGTATTCAATAAAAAGAAGGCTTCTATTCTGCTGAGTGCTTTATAGATACCAGAAGTACTTCCTACAACAAAAACCTTGAAGAGGCCCTCAAAAGACATGTGGGCAAGGAGCAGAACTGAGTATTAATATCCTTATTAAATAGATAAGGACTTGCGGAACAAAGAAACTGCCCAAAGCTATACTGGCAAAAGAAGAGTTCAGAATTGAACCCAAATGTCCTTATTCTTAGTTCATCATTGCCCCCACAAGGTTGCTCTTCATTTGGGGGTTGTTTTTTTTTTTGTTGTTGTTTTCTTTTTATTGGGGGGGGTGGGTTTTTTTTTATTAATGACTTTCATTTGGACTTTTAAGTTTTTACTAGTTGAAATATGTGTAAAAGGAAATTCCTGGTGCAGTTGTCCTAAATTTCTTTTTTTTTTTTCTTTCCTGAGCCATTCTGTTTTAATGTAACCATAAATTTTGCAATTACTTTGCTACACAGGGAAAGTATATGCTAGATGAAACACAAAATGACTAAATAGAAATATTCTAATCATGCCATACAGGCTCTGTGGGATGTATAAGTGTATCTGTTTATGCTGACAGGGTTTAGGCATAGCTGTGGGGCTATGTAAGGGTTTTGAGGGCTCTTGGTAAAATAATCGAATTGCAGCACAGAAAAAAATCCAGTTGACACAAGAAGGCTGGTGATTTGTTATTTAGAAGTCATTATGAATCCAGCACTTGTGGGAAAAAAAATGACACAAAAAATACGGTACCTAATAGCGATTCTTATTACCCCCAATATGCCTTCTCTGTCCAAGGCAGTCTTTCAGCTTTTGATCCTCTCTGTGAAAGAGGAAAAGCCGTTTTGTACAAAAACTACTTAGCTGCTAAAATGACATCTGAAGTTGGGGAAAAAATATCTGTCTTGGCATCTTAATACAAACCTAGGGAAATCTTGTACATGCTGAGAAGAGAAAAAAGCTTTTTGCAAATGTGCTAGAGTTTTGAACTGAGTTCTGCAGCAGAATATCCCAGAAGCTTAAAAGGTATCTGCCTCACTCTGGTTTGCTTCTACAGCTCCAGGTGTGACACACCTCTGGAAGGTACTTGCCTGATTCCCTAATGATACATTAGTGTAGAAGAGTATAAAAGTCCTATTGAAAGCAGTATGTCCACTGGAAACCTCACCTCATTTGTGTTTTAGTCCTGCGAAATGTTAAGATAATTTAAAATGCACCATACTGCATCAAGTACACTCTTATTTTTCCTGACATGAACTTTTTACTGGCTTATAATGAAAAAGGGTTAGAAAGTAGTGCTTTAGTCGATGCATACTCCATTATATTAATCAGTTACATAATTAGATTGAAGGCACTGTTCACCAAAGCACAGAGCTCAGGGCAGCCGGGAGGATCCCCTACACTCTATTTGCATATGCAGTGATGATGCACAGGGTCTTTCCCAGCCTGCCTCAGCCCTCCATCCTAAACTAGATCTGTAAAAATCATAAAAGAGGTTCTGAAAGGCTTTTACAGTTAAGATGGCAATTTTTCCATGGAAACTTGGATGTTAAAATACATAAAAGTGTTTAATTTTGAACACATGCTGGCGTTTAAGAACTTAATATATCATATGGCCCCTAGTTCTTTTTTAAATAAGCAGGACTAAGGGATCCAAAGACCTTTGAGAACCTGAGCATAGGGTTTATAATATTTGTATATTTTTTACAACACGAATAGATCAGGAAAGTAAATCTGAAGATTATAGTAGGATAATCATTGAACTTTGACAGATAAGGAGGTTTTTAGTTGGCTGAGAAACACTGGGCAACCACTGTAATCCATGAATGTAAATAAAGAATTTCATACAAGGCAAGAGCATCCAAAACAAAAAGCCTGGAGAAAAGTTGACGAGCCAAAGAAATCAGTAAGCTTTGATGAAAAAAAGGGGTAAAAGATGTCTGGTACATCTCTATATGAGAAAACAGAGTGGGGGAATGCCTGCTCCAGTTTTCAGCCAAGCTAGACAGAAAGGAGTGGTGTGAGTAGAAAACAATGTGGCGTATGAGAATATAGATTGTGCCTTAATAGTTTGTTACTCTTTTAATGAGGATATTAATGCAGTACATATACTTGACTTCTGAAAATTTGGGACTTGTCATTTTATACATATGTCTTTAGATACTGAAAAGCATCACTTTCTCCTCTATGTGAAACTGTGATGTGTTTGATGAAAAAACTAAAACTTGACTTTGACGCATCCCAGACCCTAGCAAAACTGTCTCTAAAGTGAGATGTTGCTGACCTATGTTAGGAGTACCAGAAAATTTCCTTTAAGGGAAGTCTGATGCCTGAAAACAAAACCACTGAGCTTTTTGGGTGACAAAGCAGATGGCAAAACTGCTTATTAAGACCTGTGACTTACGTATTGTTGGAATTTTTTACTTTGTGCCTAAACCAAGATCTGGTTGAAAAGTTTTTGTTTGTGTATTCACAAGAAATGTAACTTTTCACTGAATATAGAAATCATACAAAATATTTAGCAGGAGAAGGTAGGATTTTGGAAGGGTTTTTAAAGCATTCTTGAAAGCGGCTCTTAATGGATGACTACAATGGCCCTCAGGACAATATTGTTCCTGTACTGTTGAACATAGTATTTGCTCTCGATCTCTATTAATCAAAGCTAGAAACTAAAGGTTTCCTCAGGAAGACTAATCCACTTCACTGACATCATAGCTATGTGGTTTGAGTTCCTGTGGTTTTGTTCCATAGCAAATAGTTTACGTTGCATTAAAATGCTCTGGAGCTTGGCACAGCTGAATGCATTCTCAGAATGCTGCACTCAGTATAAAGGGAACAGCATCTTTGATATTACTTTGTGCAATGGTCAGAGTGTTTCAATGCGTCATGTCACTGGAAACATCCTGAGTGTTCAATGTGATTGACCTTATAATATGGTTTTAATATCATTAGCGTATCAGAGCAGACTGAGGAAGGGTTGTTCTGTTACTTCTGCTCCTAATTGCTGTCCCTTAAATTCTGCATATGTTTGTGTGCCTTTTAGTGGAATTGTAAGTGATCACTGGTATCTTTGGATCTACTTGTGTCCCCACCCTGAAAACCATGCTATGGATGCTTAGTGCAGAAGGGCCCACAAGCTATCTGCTCCATCCATTCATGCTCAGCACAAAATAATTCCAGTCTTTCTCGCTGAATTTTAGTAAGCTAGTAAAAGACCAAAAGTCTGCAGTGTTTCACAAGAGAAGATAGATCAAAAGCATAACTAAAGCCTTATACTCCTTTTTCAGAGGGAAAAAAAAAAAAAAACCCAAAAAAAAAGCCATTAAGTAGACCTTCCCTAATGTTACACAGAGAATCCTACAATAGTTTTGCTTATTATGTCTCCAGATTAATTTGTGATCTCTAGTCTGGCTTTCAGTAGATTTACTGGATACATGAAGAAGGCACACCAAATGGGCATCACAGAGATTTTAACATCAGTAACACTAGCACTCCCTACCTCACAACCTGTTCCTACCCACACCCCTTCTCTGGATACTCACTTGGAGGTTCAGCATCCCTTTGCAGAAGTCAGGTCATGCATGAAGAGAGAAACAAACTTTTTGGACCCCTGCAGGTTAAGCACAGGAGTAGTACAGTGTGATTATGATGCAAACAGACAGGATCAATAAGATATTTCCTTCATAAAACTGAAGAGACTATCTATAGAATATTTAGGGTTGGAAAGGACCTTAAGATCATCTAGTTCCAACCCCCCTGCCATGGGCAGGGACACCTCACACTAAACCATGCCACCCAAGGCTTCATCCAGCCTGACCTTGAACACCTCCAGGGATGGAGCATTCACAGCTTCCCTGGGCAACCCATTCCAGTCAGTGCCTCACCACCCTAACAGGAAAGAATTTCTTCCTTATATCCAGTCTAAACTTCCCCTGTTTAAGTGTGAACCCATTACCCCTTGTCCTGTCACTACAGTCCGTAATGAAGAGTCCATCCCCAGCATCCCTATAGGCCCCCTTCAGATACTGGAAGGCTGCTATGAGGTCTCCATGCAGCCTTCTCTTCTCCAGGCTGAACAGCCCCAGCTTTCTCAGCCTATCTTCATACGGGAGGTGCTCCAGTCCCCTGATCATCCTCGTGGTCCTCCTCTGGACTTGTTCCAGATATACCTTAAGAATCAGGTGGCATGTCCTCCTTGCCCACACATTTCTAGATGCCTGCACAGACACATCTGCACCTAACACTTTTTTGTCTAGTCCTAGTCCATGTGGGCACACATCATTAACCCCTAGGACAGTGTATCTGGGTATATCCATCCACTGCATGAGTGTAGGAACCTCTCACCCCTTTGTTGCATGCCCCTCCTATAAAACACACAGCTGTGGGGACACTTCCTGTCCTGCCACTCCAGAGACCTGATCTCCCAGTTCCCTGTGGCATATGGATGACTCCTCAGACTTTGGTCACACTGCAAAGAGCAGATTCCTCTACTGCATAAATGATGTGTGCACAAATGTCTTCCAGGTAATTGAACGAAACAGCCAGCATAGCCCCATGGACCACGACCATGTCCCACTTTCTCATTTGGTCTATGATCTCTGTCAGTGTGATCTTGTGAGCTGTATCTATCATAGGTTCTCCTTGCTCCTCAGTGCAAAACCAAAGCCTTTGGTACAGAACTCAACTTTCATCCATGTTTAGTATATGGTGACTGCTACTGCTTTTAGAAACAAGTCCCAATGAAATGAGCTGAGATGCTTTAGATAGCTGTTTCTGTAAGGAAACTGCAACCAGGTAGGACTTTTCCACTTCAGCTGCTTGGTTTGCTTTATGCTTTGGGTGTGAAAGACAGTGGTTTGCACATGAATGCACCTGCGTCCTCTGTGCCAGGGTAAGAGCTAGCATCCTACTTGGAATTATTACAGCTGGTGTGAATGGAAGAGGAGCCAGGAAATCAGCACTTAAGTCCCCATAGTCCCAGCTCCCCATATGGCTGGGCCAAAGCTGCTGTCTGCTTTGTGCTTCTTTTTCTTCTGATGTAGAGGTATGAAGTCCCATCCTCTTTGCTGGGTAAAAGCTGCTGGGTTCTCCTGGAAATCAGGTTGCAACCACTGTGTGAGTTAGCTTCCAGATATGTTTGTCAGGGCTACTGAACCTTGCTTGTGTGTCCCAAGGTGAGGTTTAATCCATTAATGTTTGTGAAATCTATGTAAATGATCTGTATCATGCTGACAGGTCAAGTACTGCATTGCTCACTGGCTGCTCCTCCTGACAGTTTAAGATATATGCCAAGCAATGTCTATGCTTTCAGACGATGTTTGCTGATGTTGTTTGGCTGGCTTAACCCTCTCAGGATCTGGCCCCACTTTTTCTAGGTTACTGATTGGGTGATACGGCACAAATATGTAAGGCTGCTGCTTTCTCTCATAACGTAGAAAACAGTAATTCTATTGATATTAACTTGTGCAGCACTATGAGCTCAGAAGAAACCTCCTGGATCTGCAATTCAGGCCCTGAAGGACACATGCAAAGCAGTGAGGTTGGACGGAGGGCAGTGTTCTGCTTCGTTGTGAGCAGGAGGCAGCATCAGAAGCTGCTTCTGCAAAGCCGTTGGCAGAATTTGGCCCTGCTGCACCACAGGAGCTTCAGGTGCTCAGAACAGATGGGAGGCTCAGCATGAGGCCCTCCAAGAACCCTACCAAAGAGAAGAGTGTCTTGAAATTTGGGAGCCTTTTTGCCCTGTGCTTATCACATAGATTATCTATGCTATTATCAGTTATTGCTATCAGGGCCTGACACTGGTATATACTGTACAAATGGTAAGAGAAGCAGAATTTAGAATTCTAGAGAATTAAATTCTAAGTGAATGCAACTTCTGTAACTAACTCTGCAAGCACACAGAAAAACAAAGGTGTCCAAAAGGTAACTAGTTTCACTGGCTGCTTTACCAAATACCTGGTCCCAGTTATCAGCATTACTTGTGGATTTTTATGTTCATTTTTGGTATGAATGATTAATACATTCATTATCTTTAATGCTTTTTACAGTGATGATCATTTGCCACTGATCTTTCCTCATGTCTCTGTAGGTGTATCTGTATTTATCCTTAAATACCTAAGCTAGAAAGCAATGCTGCAGCATGAGGCAGGGGCTGTTATTGCCACAAGATATTACTAAATGAGAATAAGACAGCCAAAAGAAAGGGACTTTCTGTGAATCTTCATTGTCACACAGACCTCTTCTTTGAGGCTACTGGAGGTGATACTTTACTATGTGGCCATTTTCAGAGACTAACACAGAGATATAGGGTCAGTCCATATGCTAACAATTTGGGAGACAAAATTATGAAAGAATTTTTTTTTTTTTTCTGTCACTATTGCTTTTCTGGGCAACTTTTGCTTTCAAAGCCTAATCCAGAACCTGGCAGACTCAGCAAAAATTGTGCCCCTGATTTCTTCCATAGCTGGATCACACTACCAGCTGGTTTCTTCACCACCACCAGTACAAGCTGCTGCGGTATAAAATATAAAGTGGCTTTGCACTTTATTTCTTTAGCTGAAATTTTCTTTACGTTCTTCTGCTTCAGACATTTATCTGTCACATATGTAGGCTTCAGCAAATGTACAGGGCATGCAGATCTCCACTGGTATTAGCAGATCTGCTTCACAGCTGAACTGACTAAACACATCTTGTTTAGTTTCACTCAAACAGCCTGTTTGTCAGCCACAAAACTCTGTGAAAATGATTGACAATGAAAGGACTGATTTCTTATTCCCCCTCATAAAAATAACTGTATCTCTATTTAGGGTGTTTATTTACACATGTGGTGAACAACCTGTGTAAATGTACCCAGCTGTCATAGATCTAGCCAGATTAAGCAATAGGCAGAGCAAAGATGGCGAGGTGTGGGCTTCAGGGTACATAGAATCATAGAATAGTTAGGGTTGGAAAGGACCTTAAGATCATCTAGTTCCAGCCGCCGCGCTATGGGCAGGGACACCTCACACTAAACCATGTCACCCAAGGCTCTGTCCAACCTGGCCTTGAACACCGCCAGGGATGGAGCATTCACAACTTCCCTGGGCAACCCATTCCAGTGCCTCACCACCCTTACAGCAAAGAATTTCTTCCTTATATCCAATCTAAACTTCCCCTGTTTAAATTTTAACCTGTTACCCCTTGTTCTACCATTACAGTCCCCGATGAACAGTCCTGCCCCAGCATCCTTATAGGCTCCCTTGAGATACTGGAATGCTGCTGGCAGGACTGTGGCTGTGGTTTCAGGTAGCTGTTCCCCTTATGGGGTGCAGGCCCTCATATTTTCCAGGAGACTTCTGCTTCCAACTGGCTATGTTGGAGCAACCTTGGGCATGGTTATGCGTGCAGCAGTCCTGTCTGCAACAGAGATACAGCTGATGTCAGTTATAAATGACTGCAAACTGGAACCGAAGGAAACTGTTTTTTGGGAGTTTTTCAATACCTTGTTTACAGTGCTGTTAAAAAAATAATGTGTAAAATTATAACAAAATAATGAAGACCAAACATCTGTAAATCTTCCTTTGATGAGATGCCTAGTAATAACCTAGTATTTACAGTTTTGACAGCAAAAAGACACAGGGAAAAAATGCAAAATTGTCATTTGCAAGAAGTCAGGAATGAGAAAACAGGAGGAAGATAACAGAGACTTGTGCTAACAGAGGGATTATAGCTCTTGAGAAAGGGAAATGCACCATCTATAAAGAGCAGTCATTTTTGCAAATCCCTGCCTTTGTGCTTAGCAATTACCACCTGGCAACAGTGAGGGAAAGGTAGCCCATGTAGTGCTTTGACAGGGTGGAAATCCTGTGCTTTAACAAAATGTTTGGTAGCTCTGCACAACACCTTCCCAGCAGCACATACGTGAGGAGAGAGTCCTCATGAGCAGGGAGGAGGAGATATAGTTTCTCAAAGCCAGGATTGTTTGTGCTAACCAGCTTCCCAACTGCAACAGGTGTCTTTGTGCTCCCGTAGGTGCCCCTCGGTATCCCAGAGGCCATTAAGTCCCCAGTTGGTGCTTTGGCCACTCAGCCTTCCTTCCTGTGGCAGACAACAGTGCACAGCAAAAACGTTATTGCAAGTGTGGTGTGGAAGAGTTTGTTCCTAACTGGTTATGAAGGGTATGGAGAGTGGCACAGGCATCGTGCTGGTAGAGCATGGTGTACATGCAGGTGTCTATGAGAAAGCCATTCTGTCCTTTATTTGCAAATACCTGTGTGTGGTGGAGTGGTGTGTATTTGTAAGTCATGCACATTTTCTTCTCAGTAATGCTTACTTTAGCCCTAGGGAGAGCGCAGAAATTGTAGCTGTGACCAGAACAGATGACTTTGTAGGAGGAGAGAAGTGACCCAGCCTCACTGGCAGATTTTTGTGAAGGGTTTCCCAAGGCCAGCCTGCAGCAGCGCATCATTATAGAGGTGCTTTTGACATTTGTAGTCCAAGAAGCAGCAGTACTGAAAGTAAAACACTGCCAGTGGCTTTCCATAAAAAGCCTGATTCTTGTACTATTTGTGGGGATTTGAATGCAACTGTGTTGTACAACCATAAGCTTTGTCTTGAAAGGACTCCACCAGCCTACATTTGTTTTCCTTTCCCCTCTGAACACAGTGAGCTGCAGCAGTGATGGTTTGCTCTGCAAGCTACCTGCAACCACTCCTGGACAGTGAGCAGCTCCTACTTTGGCTTGCACCCTCCAAGCAAGCTCTGGTGAAGAAAACTAGAGAAAGGAAGAAGGAATTGGGAACAACTGTAATAAAGTCATGAACTTGGGAAGACAGACTCTGGAGTCCTCTGAATGTTTTCTTTCAGAAATAAACCAAAAATGCATCCTGGCCAAACCTTAGCTTCCTGAAAAATTGACAGAATTAATTTCTTTTCCATAATATAGATTATCCTTTTGGAAAAATAACTGGAGTCTTACTAACCCATGCAGAATAGATTGTCCAGTTTTCTACGGCTGCTGCCATAGGTCCTAGCCTAATTATGCGTATGAAGTGTAGGCAAGTGTAATTATGATACAGGCAGATTTATTTGTCCTCAGACAGGTTTTCAAATAACAAAAGAATATAAATATTGGATGTATGGAAAGAAAATGTCCATTATTAAAATCAATCCACAAGCTTGTACCATAAAAAAATCTCTCTTTAACACAGCTGTCAGCCCCACTGGGATTTTAAATTCAAGTTTATCTAGTGTAACTCTCTATTTAAAAAGAAAAGTCAGAAGCACTGAACTTTTATCTTTGGTATTTAAAATACAGGAAGCTAATATAATTGGTGTACTAATGCAGAGTTATGAGCTTTTAGGTTCTTCAGTTTTTGGCAAAGAAAGGTTAAATCTTTTGATTCATGTAGTAAGTCTTTTCCCTCTATAAACTTGCCATATGCTTTCTCTTTAGGAAAAAAAAATAACCAACAACTTCATCCCTTCCTCTTCTCTGGACCATTTGATGTGGCTTTTTGGTTTGTAACTTTCACTTGAGAGTTGGCTGTATTTCAGTTACTAGTCACTGTGCAGACTTTCTGTGTAAATTAGTGGAGTGTATGTGGCATCTGGAGATCTAAGGAATTGAAAAGTATGGTTCAAATGTCAGACTACAACTTGAAAGGCTTCCGGAGATGTGGAGCCAGGTCTGTGGCCTGACTGAGGCAGCGCCCATGCTAAACTCAACAGAAAAAGCCCCTGGGTGACAAAATTATGTTCTCTGTTGGATCCGTGGCATGTGCAACATGGCTTCCAGCTTCAGCATAAAAAAAAAGTAGTTTACAGGGTGACACAAATTCCCAAGCCTGTGAGAACAAGGGCTAGATATGTTACCTGTGTCAGTGGTGCTTAAGAGAAACTAAGGACTGGTAAGATAAGCAGGGTGGAACTTAGCTTGAGTTCTGAAGTTAGACAGACTTGTGTGAATGCAGATAACCACCTGGGAAGTCTCTGGAGAAAAATTACTTCAAACAAAGGGAAACCTTTGAAAGGTTGCTTTTGTATCAAGAAAAAATGGAGACAAATTTAGTGTAAAGATTTTTTTTCTGAGCTGTGCACATTTTGTCATTTTATTTTGGTTTTTTTTTGCCATTTTTTGGAGTCTGTAAAGCCACAGAGCAATTGCTAGTGTTTAGTGACCTCCTGCCCGAGAGTGTAGGGCCTGCGTGTGTGTCTTCTTTGGCTGGCACTTGTACACTGCATAATCTAAGATGACACTGACCCTTGCAGCCTTATGAGGATAATATTTTCAGCAGGATGAATTGTTCTTGAATGTTTTCTTCAATGTACTGTGTTACGTGGCCAAACATTTTCTTCATCATTTTGAGCGTATGTCCTACATTTCCTCTCTGCTGTTTTTGTTGCATGGTTTTGATCATAGCTAACAGCAAAAGTCAAAAGACATTTTAGTGTTTCTATTCCTATGTTTCTGTTAGGCTGAATTAAATTGTTGGTGCTGCAAAGTGACTTGTTAAAAAGCTTATGCTGCAGGACTTGAACCAGTATAAACTGAAGCTAAGCTGCATCAGTTTAAATTGATGGTCCAGAGAGAAAATGTGGTCCAAAGAATAGGGTACTGATCTCGAAACGTGAGCAAAAGAGTTTGGTTAGCTGGAGCTTCAGTGTTCAGCTTTATGAATTTAGGTAAAGTTTTTCACCTTGCTCTGCTTCAGGTTTTGTGGATGGGTGGTAAAGTGACATTATTTTAAAGCACTTCGCACAGTCAGTTTTACATTCAAGTAGTCTTATTCCTGTCACATCTAACATTAATCAGTACAACTGCCTGTTTAATTTACATTACAGATAGGTTCTGAAATCATAATATCTAGGAATGCTGTGGTATCATTGAATGGATTAATTATGTTTACCAGTGTCTGTGAGTATTTGCTAGAAATTATCATTTTTCAGTCCAAAATTAAACCAGCACTAAATTTGCCCATCAAGCCACCTTCCATTTCTTTCCTACATAGTAAAGCAAATCCAGAAGTTTTCTTAGAGTATGAACAATTCCAATCAGAAGTTTCAAGTTAACCTAAACTAATACTTTGTTCAGTCTTCTAAATTACCCCTCAAATGACCTTTGGAGAAGTTTGGCCCAAGTGTCTTTTTATTTTATTTTTTTCAATCCCATCTATATGACTCATGCAGCATCTTCATTACTTTTTCCTATCTACCAGAATTTCCTTAAAAGCCTTGAACTGGCAATACCTGAATATCTCTGGTATGTTAGGGTTCATTTCCCCATTTTGCTTTGTGAGGAAAGTCCTTCCTCTCACCTGAGCATGAAGAACATTGTTCTACTGCAGGGCTGCATCTTCTGTGGGTTTTAGATGTTCCATGGCCACAAGCTTGCTTTATTTGTCCTGGTATGCTCATTTTCCCCAGTCTTCTCACCCTGGCACCCCTTGATGTTGATGTCGCCTTACAGCATGAAAGAGGAAGAAATGGGTAAATATCTTCCTAGAGGACCACTTGGCTTTAAAAATACACGTAGAGCTAAATGGATGGTTTACAAATGTGAGCAAATATCTTAGTGGTCTTACAGGGATGGAGTCACAGCTGCTAGAATAAAAACCAGGTCTGTGTGAAAATGCAGAATATCTTGGGCAACACTTCGCTACAGATAAACACTTCATTTTGAAAATTAAGTTGAAATGAACATTATCAACCTACTGTTTCTAGGCATATTGCTATTCATTTACTTAACACACCTGTTCAGTAGGACTCAGTGGTCTCCCTGTCTGTTACAAGGACTATGGGACTTTTCCAATGACCAGTTTTGCATAATCCAGACACTAGGAATATTTTATTTATTATTATCAGCATCTTTATTGCAAGCAATATTTTTTAAGAATTATTTATGTGTTAAAAAAAATAATCAAGGTTAAATCTGGCTCTGTTTTCTGGGGGCAGAAATCCAGTTTAACTTTCCTTTTAACAGTAACTTTACTCAAGGTTTTGTGAACGGAATTTGGCTTGGTGTCTGCAGAAGAAAAATGTAGCAAAATATACACTCCTTTCTCTAAATCCTGAAGAAATGTTACCCATATGCTACTGAACAGTCTTAATATAAGAAAGCAGTGAAATATTTTCAGTTTTGTGACTATGTTCTTGGTCTTATTCATATTTTATATAGGCATTGTTTTAAATTACTGGCACTACATAAGAGTATGTCAAGATGCATCATATAAACAGATGCAATTTACCATGACCTTGAGGCAACATGACGTGTATGTTGTATTACATTAGCTATCAAAATATGTTCTTTATATAGTACAGTACCCACTGTACTATATAGAGAAAGAGATAGAACATGGGTTGTTGGGCATACTGTACAGAGTTGGAAGACATATGCAAGTAACATCTCCATATCTATAGCCACATTATTAGTATCTTTTAAAAGAGACTAGTAATAAGCAATAGGAGAAAAAATTAATCCAAAAGACTTTGCTTCATTGTGAAGGTGACATCCTTTGCTGAAAAACTGAAAAGTCATCAGGAAACATGTAACTGGGAGAGTTACTGAGCACTGGAACAGGTTGCACAGGGAGCTTGTGAAGTCTCCCTCCTTAGAATTATAGAATCATAGAACAGTTAGGGTTGGAAAGGATCTTAAGATCATCAAGTTCCAACCCCCCTGCCACGGGCAGGGACACCTCACACTAAACTATCTCACCCAAGGCTCTGTCCAACCTGGCCTTGAACACTGCCAGGGATGGAGCATTCACAACCTCCCGGGGCAACCTATTCCAGTGCCTCACCACCCTAACAGGTGGTTATATCCAATATCCAGTCTGAACTTCCCCTGTTTAAGTTTTAACCCATTACACCTTGTCCTATCACTAGAGTGCCTAATGAAGAGTCCCTCCCCATCATCTTTAAGGCCCCCTTCAGATACTGGAAGGCTGCTATGAGGTCTCCATGCAGCCTTCTCTTCTCCAGTGTGAACAGCCCCAAATTTCTCGGCCTGTCTTCATATGGGAGGTGATCCAGTCCCCTGACCATTCTCACGGCCCTCCTCTGGATTTGTTCCAACAGATCCATGTCTTTTTTATGTTGAGGACACCAGAACTGCACACAATACTCCAGGTGAGGTCTCACAAGAGCAGAGTAAAGGGGCAGGATCACCTCATTTGACCTGCTGGTCACACTCCTTTTGATGCAACCCTGGATATGGTTGGCTTTCTGGGCTGCAAGCGCACACTGCGGTCTCATGTCCTTGGAGACAGTGAAAAGCTGTCTGGACATGGTTTGGGCAACTGGCTCTAGGTGACCTTAACTGAGCAAGAGGGTTGGACCAGTTGACCTCCAGAAGTCCCTTCCAGCCTCAAACAGTCTGTGATTCTGTGATATCCACAACTCCCATCAGCAAGCACTTGTATAGCAATTTGACAGTGCACAGGGGTTAGGAAATCCAGTTCTTCCCATGTTCCTTTCTTTATTGCCCAACCTCACGGCCTTGCCAGAGTGTTTGGTGAGTTAATCATGGCTTTTCCCCATATGCCTCTCCTCTGCTGTGCCACAGAGCTCTACCCTGAGCCCTGAAGAAATGTGACACCTCACTTTCATGTTTTCCCAGATACCTTACTCCATGCACAACCAGCTTGTTTCCCCAGGAGCATGGGACCTGCGCAGTTGACCTGCTGCTTCTCTCCATGCTGTGCTTGCTCTGAGCACAAGCAAGAGGGGCAGCTGCTCCCATGGATCAAGGGCCTGGCTCTCCTGGCTGTGCCCTGTTTGTACAAATTGACCTTCAGCAGCTCACTTCAACCTTCTGTTCTTCCCCACTCCCCTTCCCATGCTTCGTACTGTTATAATTTTGTAAGCTGCTTGGTCTAGGTATCATTCTCACTATCTGTGTCTGGTTTCTAGCCCAGACGTCAGCAGGGGTTGCCGCATGCTGCTGCAATATAAATGACTAATGATGATGATAAAAGGTGTGGGAGTTGGTTGCCTGGAGTGTTATCCTACTTTGATAACTTTGTTTTAGAAGCTAGCTTCTTCCTCAAATTATCTGTTATTTTATCTTATTAGGTCTAATATTCTAAAAGTGGCAAGGGATTTTTGGATGCCTTTTTTGGAGTGTTCATCTTAGGACTTTGAAAGAGGCTTTGAAATTGTCAGAGGTTGGATGGTGTTGCTGTGACAGTGCCAGTAGCCTTCAGCATGAGTTG